GATCGAGTACAAACCACTCATCTCGGCTACCGCAAAGAAGGCAGTCGAGCTCTTCGAATACATCATCCATAGATTTAGTCTCCCGAACAGCATTATCATCGACCTCGGAACCACATTCACTGGTCATCACTTTTGGGACTTCTATGAGGACCAATGCATCTCCGTCAAGTATGTCTCCGTTGCCCATCCTAGAGCCAACGGCCAGGTCAAACGGGCAAACGGCATGATCCTCGATGCTCTCAAAAAGAGGCTATATCAGAAAGAAGAAAAGCATCCAGGCAGATGGCTCAAAGAGGTACCAGCTATGGTCTGGGGACTGCGCACTCAAGCTAGTCGCAGCACTAGTGTGTCTCCATATTTCTTGGTCTATGGCTCTGAGGCCATACTTCCAGCGAACATTGCCTTCCGAGCACCTAGGGTGGAACGCTATGATGAAGAGCAAGCCACAACTGTTTGGACAGAGGATGTCGATAGGGCCGAGGAGGAACGCCTGATCACCTGCGTCCGCACAGCCAAATATCTACAAGGCTTGCAGAGATACTACAACCACAACATCAAAGGTCATTCATTTGCTGTCGGCGACCTCGTTCTCCGCAGAAAGTAGAAAACCGAAGGGATGCACAAGCTCTCCTCCCCCTAGGAAGGACCTTACGTGGTCAAAGAGGTTACCCGACCAGGGTCTTACCGGCTATGTGACTTGGACAGAATCGATATCCCCAATTCATGGCACATCGAGCACCTTATACGTTTCTAGCCTTGAAACATTCCAGATATATATTCTCCACTCCATGATGAATAAAGCTTTGGTCACCATAATTTGTCCCCATTATTTCTCCATTACGATTTAATCTCCACTTGCGGTCGCCAGCTCTAAGCTACTCCTTATATGAAGGCGCTCCAGCCTCCCATAGTTGAAGACCGGAGCTGGGACGCTCTCGAGAGCATGAGCCTCTAGAGCATCGAGCCGTAGCCCCTCGAGGGTCTCGGCGACCATGTCGGAGTCAGTGGGAGGGGGAACTTGCGGGGCGGATCCGACTAGTTCCAGATGGCTTCCCTCAAGGATGAGAAACTCTAGGGCCCCGAAGCGCACGTGTGCGCCTGGGCAAAGCTAACATGGTGACTAGCCATCCGAAACCTGGTGATGGAAATGGCGTGACACGCAAAAGGCCCCTACCTGGCGCGTCAACTGTCGATGTTTCGAATCGCCGATTAGTGAATTTCTAGTGATTGCGCGTCAAAGCTCGGATGGTGCACAAGAGGACACGAAGATGTATACTGGTTCGGGCAGAACGTCCCTACGTCCAGTGTCGAGCGGCTCATGTTGCTTGCGCTGAGTTTGCAGTAGGGTTACAAACGAGCGAGAGAGGGACCGGGGGTCCCAAGTCTCTGTGTGTGAGAAGAGTTTGAGAGCTCGATCTCTGGGTGCTTGTGTGCGTGCGTTCTAAGGAAGCCCTGGCCCTCCCTTTTATAGGTCCAGTGAAGGGCCGGGTTACATAAGAGAGAGGAAAAGAAGAAAGAGAAAAACGTGCCTCAGGAGGGTCGTCCTCCAAGGTTATCCTTAGACGAGGCGCGCCGACCCCCTCGGCGCTGTAGATGACACGAGGAGTGATGCCATACCGCCATCTTGTACACCACTGTTGCCACGCTAATGCTCCCATCATCGGTCGTGGCTCTCCATTCTCCCGTACGGGCGGCATGCCCTATGTTCCTGTTGGTCAGTCCCATATCGGGGGTAGGCGGAACAACGGCTAATTGTGCGGTAACATTGCGCCCCATGGAGTGGCGTATGACTGGTGTGGGTCACATCAGGACATGCCCGTACTCCTCAGGGGGTCAAGGCCGTCTCTCCCCTAGGGGAGTCATGGTAGAGCGGGTCCCCTGAGTGGGCCCCTCTCCTTGGTCGAGGACTAGATGCCCCCCTAGGGGCCAAGAGGCGCGGAGGCCTCACCCTCGGGGTCGGGCGAAGCGGAGAACTCCCCGTAGGGTCAGTCGGGGAAGCGTTGGCTCCTGAAGGGTCAGGCGAGGCAGAGATCCTGCCAAGGGGACAGTTCGCCATGCCCCCCTTTGCCATGGGCCGGCCCAAGCGGCAATCCAGTACTGGGATAGTTTCGTGATGTGGCTTGGCCCGCCCCTGGTGGCCCACACCGAGGCCTTTTGGCGCCGTAATGGCTCATGGTTATGGGCCGTATTATTTTTGCCCGTCTTGGATATTTCTAGTAGTGTTAGGCCCTGTTTGATCTATAGAACTAACAACTAGTTGACTAATTTTTAGCCCCTAAGCATCCAAACAAGCGGACTAATTGTTAATCCAATAGTCATGAACTAATTGTTAGTTCACTAGTCCACTTAGAGGAGCGAATAGGACTAGTTGTTAGTCCTAATCGATGCAAACACTTAAGCTCATGGAAAAAAAACACCTCATATTCATCCTTATCTAGTTATCCTACACTCAATCCTTTTCTTGGTTGTGCTGCCTCCCCTGCGACGGTCGGCCTCCCCCAACGACAACTACACCGCCACCCTAGTTGGCTATGTTTCCTCTCCGATTGGTGGTCGCGCCTCCTCTGCCTTCGTGACCACTGATGAGCCACCATTCACTTCCTCTACCCCTGCACTCCCACGCCCCCCACTGGGCCATTCCGCCTGTAGGTGGGCCACGTGGATGGCTTCGACATCAAGTGGGCCAAAGCATGCGGACCGCGCCATGGACGAGGCCATGGACAACAATTTCCTCTTTAGAGCAAGTACAGTAACAGGTTGTAAGTTGGCTAGGTGGAGGACAGAGGAGAGAAGAGTGAGGAAAAACGGGTTGTAAGCTTACAACCGGCTTAAGCATAATAACCAAGGAATTTTATGAGAGATAGTTGGGTTATTTATTAATAGTGAAGAGCTAACTATTATATAGGTGGGCTAACGGAAGGCTGCAAATAAACCTTACAACCAGCAGTCGGCTGTATTATTAGCCTTCCTCTTACATGGAGCGTCATCGGTGGCGTTGATGACAGGATCCTCACGATGCCAGCTCCTTCTAAGTTGTAGCCTTGATTTATTTTTATGATCTTTCGGTGCTATAAAACAAAAGTTTCTTACTACTGAAATGGGAGCGGCGAGACCTAGCTGTCTTCTTGTTCTTGTCCATCATGCCAATGAAATTGCGTGTATTTGTGTGAAACTGTATTTACCTCAGTATGCATGTGAATGCCGACCTTAGCCCTTGTGCCCATTTTGTGACGAGCGACCGTTTTGTCATGTATCGGCATATGTTTTTCTTTTTATTATTAAGCCTCTCGTCAGGTTACACTGTAGTGTCTGTTCGAACGTGCCTTTCTTATATACGGCGGCCGGACTAATTCAAACCACGGAGTAGAACACTACGTATATGGGTGGCCCTCGCCAATAATCTACGTACGTCAGCTCTAAGATTTTTTTATATAAGGATCAGCTCTAAGACTAGACACTGCACTAAAGCTTGCCTAAAAAATAATCTGTAGCAGAGTCGCGTCGTCCACGGCTGCCTGCTTCCATGTCACTGTCATTATTATATATCTATAAACACATACTTCCTCCGTTTAAAAAAATACTTCCTCCATTATAAAATAAAATTATAAAAAGTTTTGATTTTTCTACGTACATAACTTTGTATACAATTAGATATACACTATATCTAAATACGTAGTCAGAGTAATATATCTAGAATAGTCAAAACGTCGTATAATTGGAATAATGAAAGTGTCGTTTTTTGAAAAAAAAATCAAACAATCTTAAATTTTATTGGATCTATAAAAGATATTGCCTGCATTTTTATATCTTTAGTTAGATAAATTGAAGAAGTAGATTTCATGATTAATCTGGTGATACTTATTATAAATCATAAATATTCATAATTTTTTTATATTTATTTAGTTAAAGTTAGATCGCTTTTTAGAGCAAGTATAATAGTAGGCTCTAAGCCGGCTGAATGCTGAGGTGAAGAAAAGATGAGAGGAGAGAGAAAAGAAACGGGCTGTAAGCTTTCAGCTGCCTCAGACACAAGAATCAAAAAACTCTGTGAGAGAGACAAATGAGCCATGTATTAATAGTGAAGAGCTAATTGCTATATAAGTAGGCTGAAAGAAGACTGCAAGTCTTACACTGGCCTGTCGGCTGTGCTCTTACTCTAATATTTGAGGAAGTGTGGTAGGAAATCGGGAAGTGCAAATAAACAATAGGTCACCAGGATATGCATCATCCCGACGGAGATGTGGTCGCCGCGAAGACTTTTTGCTAATCGACATCCTCTTCCTTCGGCGAAGACATTGGCCGGCGCCGGCCGCGTGCCCAGAATTGCCCAGAAAATGCTGAGCATGCTTTCCAGCTGACGTGCGCATCAAGTACGCAGCACTAATAATAAGCTAGCTAGTGCTAGTCAAGCAGGAGTTGAGCGATCCGCTACTGATGCTTCACCGGCGACGATAGGTTCCGCTACTGCTCTGCTCTACTGATCAGCTCAGTGTAAGAGTTAGTCGCATCTTCTTCACAAACTCTTTCCTGTTCATCTCTCTCATTCGTCTAGCTTCAGGTCACTCGCTGAGGCTTCAATGCTTGGTTTGGTTTGCTTCCATTCCATCCATAGCTTGCTTAAAAGAACCGCTTTGCGTCTTGCGTCTTGGAATGGAGGGTTCTAAGGAAAACTTTTCCCATTTCTTAGAGAAAGAAAAAATGGAACCAAGATGTTTCCATTTCTTAACACGTCTGCTGTTAATGTTGTTTTCATAGATAGAGGCAGAAGAAACAAATCAGAAAGCAAGTGCTGCCGTGCTGACAGCGAGAGGACCAACCCTGTTGAAAAAATTCACTCGTCACTCATCAGGTCAGGTATCTCAAGCTATCAGAAATTTCCTCTGTCGCTGATGTGCACGCATGTACGTCCTGCCCTGCTTCGTACAGTAACAAATGCATGTCTTACCAAATTCAGGAGCTTTTTGTTTTTTTGAATTGGAATTCAGGACCGTATTATGGGCATGAAGGCTACTGCAGTTGGACATTTTCTGCTGTTGGTTATGTCCTTCAGCACCATCACCAGCTCCTCTGCATCCGGAAACGAAACAGAGACAGAAACAGACCGGCTGTCACTGCTTGACTTGAAGAAGTCCATCACTCTCGATCCACAACAAGCCTTGGCCTCATGGAACGAAAGCACCCACTTCTGCAGCTGGGAGGGCGTCATGTGCACAGCAACCATCCCGCGCCGCGTCGCATCCATTCGCCTCGAGAGGCGAGGCCTTGTCGGGCAAATCTCTCCTTCACTCGGAAACCTGACCTTCTTACGAAACCTCTCCCTCGCAACCAACCGCTTCTCCGGGGAAATACCTCCATCCCTTGGCCACCTCCAGCGACTCAAGTACCTGTTCCTGAGCAACAACACGCTGCAAGGGAGGATACCGAGTTTCACAAACTGTTCCAGCCTCAGGGTGCTGTGGCTGCACCGGAACGGTCTTGTCGGGCCGTTTCCAACAGAACTGCCGCCTGGCCTTCGCCAGCTGCAGGTTTCAGTTAACAATCTCAGCGGAGCCATCCCTGCATCTCTCTCTAACATCACAGCGCTCACTGTGGTCAGCTGCGCATTCAATAACTTGGCGGGAAATATCCCAGATGAGTTTGCCAGACTGACCAATATGCAGCAGCTCTACGTGGGCACCAATCAGTTGTCGGGCAGGTTTCCACTGGCCGTCATGAATCTTTCTGCCCTCACTGACCTCAGCCTTGGTCTGAATCTGCTGAGTGGAGAGGTGCCAGCTGACCTCGGTAGTGCGCTGCGCAACCTCCTGCTGCTTGAGCTGCCCGTCAACTTCTTTCATGGGCATATTCCGGCGTCGTTGACAAATGCTTCCGGTCTGTACTACATCGAGATGTCCAGGAACAGTTTCAGTGGGGTGGTGCCGAGCACAATTGGCAGACTGAAAAGGCTGGAAATGCTGAACCTTGAATACAATCAGCTGCAGGCTGAGAGCAAACAAGACTGGGTGTTTCTTAACAGCATGGCTAACTGCACCGAGCTGATCGATTTCTCTGTGACCAGGAATCGCCTGCGGGGGCATGTACCAGCTTCATTAGGCAACCTTACCAATCAGCTCCAGTATCTATACATGTCAGAGAATCAATTGTCAGGAGAGTTTCCTCCTGGCATAGCAAACCTTGGCAACTTGTTCATCGTATCACTGGATGTGAACCAGTTTTCAGGTGCGCTTCCTGAATGGCTTGGGTCTCTACAAAATCTGCAGAAGGTATTACTAGGCAGCAATTACTTTAGCGGGGCCATTCCATCATCCTTTTCAAATCTGTCCCAATTAGCAGAACTGTATCTAGAGTCAAATCGGTTGGTCAGCCAAATACCCACAAGCTTTGCAAACCTTTCGATCCTTCAAGTACTCAACATTTCTAACAACAATCTTCACGGCAGCATACCAAAGGAACTGTTCCAAATCCCAACGATTACGCAGATTAGCTTATATGTAAACAACCTACACGGGGCACTCCATCCAACCATTGGCAATGCCAGACAGCTCACATATTTGCAGCTTTCGTCAAACAATCTGTCTGGACCAATCCCTAGCACCTTGGGCAATTGTGAGAGTTTGGAAGACATCGAGCTTGACCACAATGCTTTCACTGGAAGCATTCCTGTTTCATTAGGCAGCATAAGGACCCTGAAGGTTCTCAACTTGTCACATAACAGCTTAATTGGGTCAATACCAGCATCTCTTGGAAATCTACAACTTATTGAGAAACTAGATCTGTCATTCAACAATCTTATGGGTGAGGTACCAACAAAAGGGATATTCAAGAATACATCAGCTACACGGATTGATGGAAATCTGGAGCTCTGTAGCAGGCTGCCAGAGTTGCACCTGCTGGCATGCCCTGTCGTGCCTTTGGGTTCAGATAAGCATGAGCTATCAGTTACACTAAAAGTAGTGATCCCAGTAGACATAGCGGTGTTACTTGCTGTGGTCATCATTTCTATCTTGCTGCTGTTCCAAAGGCGAAAACGGACAGCCAGATCTATTTCTTTACCCTCGTTTGGAAGAGAAATGGCAAAAATTTCTTACAGAGATCTTTTCAGAGCAACAGATGGATTTGCAGCGTCCAATCTAGTTGGACGGGGAAGGTATGGTTCTGTTTATCAAGGTAGACTGTTTCAAGATGGAAATGTGGTTGCCATCAAGGTCTTCAGTCTGGATACAAGAGGAGCACAAAAGAGTTTCACCGCAGAATGTAATGCTTTGAGAAATATGCGGCACCGCAGTCTAGTTCCTATCCTAACTGCATGCTCAACTATAGACTCAACTGGAAATGATTTCAAAGCCTTAGTATACAAGTTCATGCCACGAGGCGACTTGAATAATTTATTGTACTCGTCTCGAGATGGTGAAGACTCTTCATGCTTGAACTATATTTCACTAGATCAGAGGTTAAGCATCCTTGTGGATGTATCGGATGCTCTCGCATATCTACACCACAGCCACCACGGAACCATTGTACATTGTGATCTCAAACCTAGTAACATTCTCTTGGATGATGATATGGTAGCCCATGTTGCGGACTTTGGGCTAGCTCAGTTGAAATTTGGTTCCTCAGCATCATCTTTTGTGGCCTCAAATTCCACTTCCTCAATGGCAATCAAAGGAACCATTGGATATGTTGCTCCAGGTATCAATCCTTTTTTTTCACATTGTGTTTCCTAACTAAATAGTTTGGCTAGCTTAGTCCTTTCTACAGAATGTGCAGGGGGTGATCAGGTTTCAACTTCCTCGGATGTCTACAGCTTCGGAGTCGTTCTCCTAGAGATATGCATCCGGAGGAGGCCAACGGATGACATGTTCAAGGATGGGATGAGCATTGTAAAGTTCGCAGAGATCAACTTCCCTGACAACGTGTTGCAGATTGTTGACCCACAGCTGCTGCAAGAACTGGACCTCAGCATGGAGATGCCAATGGCCATCAAGGACAGTGAAGCTCAGATCCTGCAGTGTGTAATCAACATTGGACTCTGCTGCACCAAGACGTCCCCCAACGAGCGCATCAGCATGCAGGAGGTGGCTGCCAAGCTGCATGGAATCAGGGATACATATCTTAGCCGAAACCGAAGGACCAGCACAGCAGCATAGGTTCTGAACGAATAACTCGCTAAATGAATTTTCATTTCTCAATTCTCATGTACCAAAAGTTAGGAACTTATATCTTTCAAACCATTGAAAGTTCACATTGGTCCTTAAATCAATATAGTATAACATTGTACCAGGAACAATCTTGGTTCAGGAAGTCAAGTAAATTACCCATAAATTTGCGAGAAAATCTTTGAACTCCAGAGTTGGTTCAGCACTGGTTGCAAACTTGCAACACTGAACAGAGTATCAGCAGCAGCTCGACTAAAGCCCCCTTTGACACGGCTCATTCAAAACGGCTTCACCGGTGAAGCCAAAGCCGGTGAAGCCAGAAAAACTGGCTTTTCCTGGCTTATAGTTCATTTTAATCCCGGCTTACAAAACGGCTTCGAGCTACAGTGCCTCGATTTACGCAAAATAGATGAAGCCGAAGCCGGCATAAGCCGTAACAAAGAGGCCCTAGCACGCAGCTGCTTGGCACCAGCTTATTCGCTCCAGCGCAGCACAATCTGGAGCAGCTGCTGGCCAAATTCTGCATCACCACGCCACTGCTCTCCAATTCCGAACTCCAGATAACTCACGTTGAGACCTTGAACCTTCACCTCGTAGATCAAGCTAAGAAATTTCCACCTGACCGGAGGTCCTTCTCCTCTGGCAATCCGCGGACTGCTCCGCCATGGCCGCCCAGGATTCTTCGGCCAAATTCGCCCGTTTCGCGCCACCATCTTTCAATTACCCAAACACGAGCCTCCCTCAATCTCACCTTTGCACCCTCGAACCAAGGAAAGATCGAACCGGCACCTGCAAGGCTGCAACCCCTGCTTTTGCCGCTCGCTGCGCCGCCATGCTCACCGAGCCGCCACTGGCACCCTCACCGAGGGCAGCCCCACTCACACCTTCTCAGGACGATTCGACGAGAGCACAGGGTCCTAGGTTGCCCCCTGAAGCTCACAGGACACTCAAGTGGCCGAATCGGACACCGACCCGCTGTTTCCCCTCGCGCGCCGACGAGTACGAGCTGGGCCGTCGCCGCCCATGCCGCCATCCGACGTCTGTGCCTTCCGACTCGTCGAGAACCAGAGCAAGTGATGCGCCTCGCCCAGCTGAGGCTGCAGGTGCGACCCTTGTCGCCGGAGAACCCACCACCGGCGAGATCGACCGCCGAGTCGTACCTCTATATGGTATTGACCGACCACTATGAGGAGGACCCAGGGCCCCACATGTCAGATGCTACCCATCGTACCAACCGGGTGCACTTATATTCAGGATTTTGGTGAGCTATTGATTGTTTTTTGGGAAAACGTTTAAAGGTGCTGAAAAACTTGAAATTTCATAATTATTTGTATTGTTATGTTGTCCTCTACCACAAACCACATAAAAATAAAACAATAAATCACCGTAGATTATGAAATTAGGGTTATTTTGCACAATCTATAATTTATTTTATTAGGGTTAAAACGTTCACCCAAGAATTATGGAAAAAATAGCATGAACTAGTATTATGTAAAGGTACATTTACAAATTGTTTCGACCAAATTGAGAGTTGTAGAAATAGATTATGAAAGTAATCCTATGTTTTGGTTTTAATTGCCTAATAAATAGTAAAATACTTCGAGTAACTTATACTCTCTCCTTTCCAAATTGTAAGTCAATCTGACTTTTCTAGAGACATAAGTTTCGTTATGCATCTAGATATACATTATATTTAGATGTACAATAAAAATTATATGGCTTATTAAAATTCAGGTGCCTGAATTTTTGTTTCTTCTTAGGCAACGGTTATTACATATATTTTGTACCAAAATTGCAGTTTTATCTCATTGCAATTTCTGTAGAAACAATCAACTAACTCGTTAAATTTGGTAGACCCCACAGACCTACCACACGAGCACAAAAGACACGAATGCCGACCCTAATTAAAAAGTTTTTTGTGTGCCGGCGGCGCAAAATGGGTTCCTCCTATACGTCCATATGGAAAAGGAACGTTAACTGACATGTTCCTTTCCCGGCCTGCTATACTAAACAAGAGGCTGTCTTTTGTTGGGGGCCAATGGTAAGAATAAGAACTCTGCTTCTCATTTCCCCGTATACATCCTCCGTTCCAAAATAGATGTCATTTTCAATTTTTAAAAAGTCAAAAACGTTTAACTTTGACTAAATATATATAAAAAAAATATTAATATTTATAATACGTGATTAGTATCATTGTTGAATATATTTTCATAATAAACTTATTTGAAGATATAAATGTTGCACGTATTTTCTACAAAACTAGTTAAAATTGAGAAAAATTTGATTTACACGCATCATAACGACCTCTATTTTGGGAGGGAGGGAGTATGTTCCGGAGGGTACGTGCATCAGACGCTAGCAACAAAGGATGACTAACTTGGAAGCACTAAACAAGTGACTCATCTGTAAGCTACGCATGGGCTGGCTGTGAGGCGTGGAAATGGGCCACGGCCTAGGTAGAGAGGGAGCAAGGGTGCGGGGAAGAGTTGGGCTGAGGCCCAGCGGGAAGGGAGAGAGGCGCGGGAGAAAGTTGGGCTGACCGGGATTCCGGCCAGGGAAGGAGGGAGGAAGATTTTAGCCTCTTTTCATTTTTGTAAATTCATTTTGAAGATCAAATTTAAATCTTTTTGAATCAAAGTCAAAATTTGAAACTTATTTGAACCAATATGAGATTTCCAAACTAGCCATTTTTAAACATAGTTTTCAAACAAAACTTAATAATTTATTTTGTAAACAGAACAAAGCCTATTCGTAGCTTGAACGACTTTTTAAATTCATTTTTCACACAACCAAACCAAAGCAAAGGCATGAATGCAATAAACAAATTAAATTAATTACAAAAAGATTTTATAAAATCACATTTTTCATTTGTTAAAATTATCAACAACCTATTGAAATCTTGAAAAAATCTAAAAAAATTATAAAATCATTTATTTTATTTAGGGTTTTCTATTCACAACCCAAAATAAAAATTTTGGGGTGTGACAGTGTGCAACTTGCTTTGAGTGTGGCCCCCTTGGTCTTTCCATAGCAGTTGCTAACTGACAAAACGAAGCCTGAGATGGATTGGGTGCTGGGTATGGATGGGCATGATAAGCCCATCCTTGCAAAAAACAGCTGCTACGTACAATTTCTATCCTACGTAAGGGTTTGACAGTATCATTCAGAGGAAGGTTAATTAACGCTAGCCGTTCAGCCAAGTTTCAATTATTGTCCTCTAGGATAACCAATCTGACTTCTAGCTAATTAGAATTTGATCATTTTCAGCGTTGACATTGCATTGGCGCTGTAGTTGAGCTCTCGTGTGAACATATATTATATATTACCAAAAAAAACGAAGAATCTTGCGGCGTCTATTAGAATGTCATCACTCAGTCACCATCCCTATAATTCGTTGATCTTCCTTCCATGTTCATATATATGAAGTTTAAGACTCGATTGCTACCGCTCTCTAAGGCTCTGGGGCAAAGCAGAAATTTATTAGTAACGCATTTTCATAAACAATGCGAAAGAGAGATAATGAAGGGCATTGCTTGCAAATGCATCCAATTAACTCTAATCTGACTGGCCAACGGCCACACTAAATTAAAAGGTCAAGGAAATGGGGAAAAAGGCGGCTATGCCAGTGAGCAAGGACAGTTATATTATCATAATAAGTTTATTGCTGCCCACCACAATGCTATAAATTAGCCAAGGGATCAGGGTGGATGCAACAAGCAAGGCATTAGCTCCATCATTTTGTCCAATCGAGTCGCTCTGGTGGTCAGGTGCCTCTGCCTGACTTCTTCGTCCTCACAGTCACCGGTCGTCGCGGAGGTTCGGGACATCGCTGAAGAAAGCCAGTAAGCATCTCGTCACCAACCTTTTACCTTAATTATTGTTACTACAGAGTATCGTGCGTACGTGCATGCAACGTAGGAGACAACTGCTTTTTTTCTCTCTTTTCTATTATTTCTCTTAAATTTAACCAACAATCTCATGCTTTAGATGCATATGTCTAGATACGTGTCGTGAATCCACAACGGGTGCTCAACGCTACTCATGGAGACTGTCCTCCACTAAATTTTTTTTACTCAAATCTATGGGTTAGATAAGGTCATACCCTCTCCTCCGTACCATGTCAATTAAGTTAGTGGAGGCTATACTTAATTGATATATATTCCCTACACCACAAATATGTGCTTTTACGATGCCGATGATGTTAACTATATATCTGAAAATTTGACTAGCAATCTCTATAGATATATGCTGTATCAAGGAAGAAAGGATTATGTATTATTATTAGTTGCATGCATTACCACAAACGGGCACACTATTTTTTAGGATGCATTCAAAATTGATTTTCAGGGGTGGTTTTCGAAACCACCATGCACCAATGATTGTAAAAATAAGGCATTTACAGGAGCGGTACCCACCTCCAAAAATCAAAATTTAGGGCATTTTATTAAGTTAACTCCCTCTATGGATATTTTTTAAAGAATTGCAAAAAAATTAAAATTTTACCAAAAATAGAAAAATTTCCCATGGCTAGATGATTGCTGCACAGATGTAATGATGCAAGCTATTTAAGTCCAGGCCCAAGCGATGTCTCGAAGGTTTCAAACCCAGGATTTAAACCTCACACAGCATGAGACACTATTACCACTATACCACAGTCGGTTGTGACTAGATACCACCACTACATAAGTTAACTGTAGGGACGGCTCTAAGGCCTCTGTAAGGGCGGCTGCGCCAGCCGCCTTTCTCAGGATGTTCCTACAGAGGGTGCCTCTGTAGGGGCGGCTGGTGTTTTCAGCCGCCCCTGCCTCTGTAGAGGCGGCTGGTGTTTTCAGCCGCCCCTACAGTGCCCTCTATAGGGGTGGCTGGTAATATCAGCCGCCCCTGTAGTGGACTTCTGTAGAGGTGGCTGTATCACCAGCCGCCCCTACTGTGTGTATTTATAAGGACGGTTCAATCAAGAACCGCCCCTACAGTGGATTTTCCAGCAAAAAAAAAAAAATTCAAATTCAAATCTGACCATATATATATATATATATATATATATATATATATATATATATATATATATATATATATATATATATATATATATATATATATATATATATATATATAATTCAAATTCGAATACAACATTCATCTTAGGCTATCTCACTTGTCTACAGTATGCAGGAGGGTTCAGATGCAAAGCACCACATGTCGCTGGAGCAAATCAGTTTACAGAGAGTGATAAAACTAAAAGACAATCTTCAGGCTGGCTGCTCATAAGTGATGCTCCTATTGTTGTTCGAAATAGTAAATCGTCAACTGGCAACTTACTCCACCTCTTCCAAGAAATCCTTGATCTCTGCTGGGCTTAAAACTCTGTATTGTGTATATGGAAACTGTTAGTTCTCAGCAAATCATTTGATTGTAGCTAAGGAGTTTGTAATATCATGGAATAGCTTTAGATTTGCAACAAAAACAAAAACAGAGTAAACACAAACATTTCCCCTCCATCTAGAGGGGCACAAGTTACAGAATCTCCGTAAAATCAGAGAGCAAATGAATGATGCAATAATTTAATCATTTGATGAGGCAAGAGGAACATGAATCACATAAAAGTGGCAGTAAGATTGAATCTGTGCAACTTACTTGAACTCACGGTCAGCTCGAATAATTCCGATTTCAATATTGTTGGAGGAAATTTGCCCCTCATATCTGCAAGTCGAAGATCCAGAACCAATTAGTAACTACTTAGGATGTTTCTAAACTAAGCAAATACAAGTGGGATGTGATACCCTTCTTTCAGAGTCAAAATTGCAGTGTGGATGGCATCATCAAGCTCCATATCTTCTGTGTATCTACAATGAAACCATAAATATAACATGTGAAATCAAAGAGGGAAAGGATGATCCGTTATGGCATACGTGCTGCTTATATTAATCAATGACGAGGTACATAAAAAATCAACTGGAATTTATTTACAATAGGATGGAAGAAAATTATCAGCAGTACTATGTCACAAATCACAACAGTGTCTAGAGCAAGTGCACAACATTACTACATTGAGACTGTACCTCTTTTCAAGAAACATCTTTGCATTGGACACATTTTTTCCCATGGCTGATGCTTTCCAGGAGAAGTATGATCCTGAGGGATCAACCTGAAGAAATAGCCAACAATGTCAGTTGTCCTGAAATTATGAAGGTATACATCCTATGGTATCATGGTGATTGCTAGCACAAAAGCACACATTTTCCACTTTATAAGTACTACTTGTGATGATCTCTTGTAAGTTATGACTAAATGACATGTGGGAACAATATATAAATTTGTGAGGTTGACATTTTGTGTTAAAGTAGGCATTAGAATGATGGGAGTAAAAATTAACAGGTTTCTATCTTGTAGCTTCTTCAGTATACCTGATACAACTGCGGGCCATTGTCATCATACCCAGCAATCAGCAACGATACTCCAAATGGTCTTACACCACTGAAACAAACAAGGATAAAAAATAGAACACATTAGCATATACCTATCTCAGTCTTTCACTAATCACCTTAACACCAAACAATAGAGGCTAGTACGTGTTTTGACCAGATGGTGTATATCCCAGTAATCTTCTCGGTGGCGATGACTACACCATTGGCAGCTGCAAACATGACATATTTCTGAGTTAACTAAGAGGCACAAGTAAAATAAAATGGTTGTACTGCCTAAACAGAGACCATGTATACTACATAGAACACAACAATTCAATTGATTTGAAAAAAAAAACAGTATGGTGAATCATTACACTACAGCTACTAAACCTATCAATAGTGACTTCATCACTTCATAATGAACGTCAGATATCATGTTAATTAGGAAGTTCAAATAACAATGGTCATGAGGTTTGAAATAACTTTTTAACTTCCACAGCCCATCTTTGGCTGAGTGGCACCATTAGTTGATTTCTGTGCAAGTGTGTTAGTCAGTGCTCTGGATATGAAGTGGGCAAACAAACTCGCAATTTTCAACAATCCCCATTCAACATCAAAGCATCCAAACAACAATAGATCTGCATCCACTTCTACAGCACGATAAGCAATACGACATTAAATTTGGGCAGATCTAAGCATGCACATGCAGGAAAATTAGGAAAAGTTTGTCAAATGTATTAGCACCAATAGGCATCAAGGAATTTACAAACCCAACCTCAAATGACTTAATAATACAACATTAGATTAGAAAGATATCTTAATAATGACTAAAATTGGTATAATAATCTTTGAGTAGTCAGTGTTTTTTGTGTGTGTGCGCACCTCCCAACCTGAACTTATGAATCAGAATCATGCAATGCCCGAAGCAATCATCCATACAACTTGAAAACAGCTGAAATTGCGTGTAGGTATCTAGGAGATAAGAAAATCACAACTATATACACAGTTGAAATTACATCTAGGTATCCTCAATTAACACTGCGATGCTAACGAGAAAGGATGAAAGCCCTAGTCAAAGCAACGACACAAACACACGAAAAGGATAAAAGCCCTGATCAAAGCTAAGACACAAATACACGAACACAAACCCAAAATAATACACTTCACCAAGAGGACTAACCCTCCGCAATGCTCTAATGTTGTGCACGAGATAAGACGTCATAATGCCGTTTCAAATTGGTCACGAACCTCTCGCTACCTAGCAAACAGCAAAATACCAACATAAGAAATCACAGGGGTGAGAGGTGATTGCTGCGCTAATCGAACCTTTGATCCCGAGCGAGGTCTGCCCGGATCCGACAGCCGTGAGCGCGTGCTCGATCTGCACAAGCTTTCCTGATGGGCTGCAGCGAAATCAACCGGAAGAGGTCAAATCAAACCACCGTAACGACACAAAATCTCCCCCGATCTCGATGGAGGGGACGTGCAAGCGAGAGATGTAGAGAGAGGAGCACGAACCTGAAGGTGGTGAGGGAGAAGGAGTACTGGCTGTCACCCATTGCCGAGGTGCTCAGTCACCTCGTTGGCTCTTCCGGGCTGGAGCATCGGCGATTCGTGGCAAGGTTTTGCTGCTAGCGAGGGAGCGAGGCGGCTGAGGAAAAGAAGGGGAAGATAACGGGTGGAGGGGTGACATACTGCCAGAGCCGGCCGCCGAGCTGAGCCGCCGCCGGAGAGAAAGACGTCATGCGCAGCCGGGGTCATGGAGCACAGGCACCTAGGGTTTCGTCGAGGAGAGGAGGAGATGCGGAACGGTCGGAGGAGGCCGCGCCGGGAGGCATCCGGGACGGCGGCAAATGCTGGGGCCCGCTCTCGCCGTGCAGTGACCGGGGACGTCCACCGCCGGGGCTGACACGCGGCGCTGCAGCGCAGCCGGGGCGCCGTCGCGCCGCCAGCGCCTTGCGCGGTGTAGCGGCGGCGCTGGGCCCCGGCTACACGGCGCCACGTCTAGAGAGATAGGGAGAGGGAGAGGGAGAGGAAGGCAACGCAGGGGCGGAGGCGGCGGCGGCGGCGTTTCTGCGTGAGGAGAAGCGTCGAGCTCGGGAGAGGAGACGAGATACTTTGAGAAGGAGAAGCTGAAGCTGGATATATATTTGCTTCACTGGATTCGAACGCGAAGCCGGAGAAAGCAGAGAGAAGGAGAGGAGAAGCTATAGAGAAAAAGGAGAATCGAGGAGAATCTAATTCTAGCAGAATCCAAAAAACCCAATCCCAGATACTCGTTGCGAAGATCGGACGGAGAGAAAATTGGGATACCTTAGAGGCACTATAGGGTGGCTGAGGTTATAAGTCGTCCGATAGTTAAATTTTTTTTTAAAAAATTCTAAATCAAAATAAGTTATTCACATGTAAATAATAAATAAAATAGTACAAAATTTTATAATTACTTTTTTATAGATATATTTACATATACAATAACTAAAACAACTACAACAGTTTAAAATTGCAAAATTGAACCTTTAAAAATGGGAAAAAAATTTAAATTTAAAAAAATTAAAATCAAAACAACTAAAATAATTTTGAGATCTCAAATAAAAATTTGATAAACATCAAAGTTATAGAGGTCATGAAGATCTACAACTTTTATTTTGGTCATCTTGTCATTTGACAAAATTTGAACCTTTCAAATTTGAAATTTAAAAAAATGACAAGTTCAAACCAAAATTTGAGACCCAAAATGATTTCAACATAAAAAGTGATGAATACCAAAGTTGTTCAACTCATTAATATTTACAACTTTTATTTTAGTCATCTTGTCATTTGACAAAATTTGAACATTTCAAATTGGAAATTTTGAAAAACGACAAGTTCGAACCAAAATTTGAGACCCAAATTGATTTCAACATAAAAAGCGATGAATACCAAAGTTGTTCAACTCATGAATATCTATAACTTTTATTTTGCTCATTTCTTCATTTGACAAATTCTTACCACACATTGTTCACTAATCTTACACATGTCTCATATAGTTTATAAAACCTTATGAGAGATGTGTCACATTTGTGAACAATGTCGTTACCACTTTGTCATATGAAGAAATGACCAATACACAAGTTGTAGATCTTGATGAGTTATTCAACTTTGGTATTTATCATTTTTTCAGCTGAAATCATTTGGGAACCAAAATCTTGTCTGAAGTTGCATTTTTTTGAAATTCAAAATTTAAATTTCTCAAACTTTTCATATGTATATATTGACAAAACCAACAAAATAAATTGATAGAGAATGATTTTAGAAAATTTTAGAAAAAAAATCATCAGATTTGGAGTTAGTATGAGGAAAAAAATAGTTACAAAGTTGATCCACAAATTAAAAAAAGAAATCATACTGTTCACTATGATCATGTAAGGATCATCTAGAACAGTGTGATTTCTCTTTTTAATTTGTGGGTAAACTTTGTAACTAGTTGTTTTCCCTCATACTAACTCCAAATGTGATGAATTTTTTCCTAAAAAATTCTAAAATCATTCTTCACCATTTAAATTTGATCAAATTTGGATGTGACAATGTTTTACACATTTTTAAATTTGAAATTTGATAAGTTCAAACCAAATTTTCAAACCCTAAATGATTTCATATGTAAAAGTGATGAATACAAAAGTTGTTCAACTCATCAAGATCTACAACTTTTATTTTGGTCATCTTGTCATTTGACTAAATTTGAACCTTTCAAATTTAAAATTTTAAAAATGACAAGTTCGAACCAAAATTTGAGACCCAAAATGATTTCAACATAAAAAGTGATGAATACCAAAGTTGTTAAACTCATTAATATCTACAATTTTTATTTTAGTCATCTTATCATTTGACAAAATTTGAACCTTTCAAATTGGAAATTTTGAAAAACGACAAGTTCGAACCAAAATTTGAGACCCAAATTGATTTCAACATAAAAAGCAATGAATACTAAAGTTGTTCAACTCATGAATATCTACAACTTTTATTTTGATCATTTCTTTATTTGACAAATTTTTAGCACACATTGTTCACTAATCTTACACATGTCTCATATAGTTTATAAAACCTTATGAGAGATGTGTCACATTTGTGAACAATGTCGTTACCACTTTGTCATATGAAGACATGACCAATACATAAGTTGTAGATCTTGATGATTTATTCAACTTTGGTATTTATTACTTTTTCAGCTGAAATTATTTGGGGAACCAAAATCTTGTCTGAAGTTGTATTTTTTTGAAATTCAAAATTTAAATTGTTCAAAATTTTCATATGTATATGTTGACAAAACCAAAAAAATAAATTGATAGAGAATGATTTTAGGAAAAAAAATCATCAGATTTAGAGTTAGTATGAGGAAGAAAAACTAGTTACAAAGTTGACCCACATATTAAAAAAAGAAATCACATTGTTCACTAGGATCGTGTAAGGATCATATAGAACAGTGTGATTTCTCTTTTTAATCTATGAATAAACTTTGTAACTAGTTGTTTTCCCTCATACTAACTCCAAATGTGATGGTTTTTTTCCTAAAAATTTCTAAAATCATTTTTCAGCATTTAAGTTTGATCAAATTTGGATGTGACAATGTTTTACATATTTTAAAATTTGAAATTTGACAAGTTCAAACCAAATTTTCAAACCCTAAATGATTTCATATGTAAAAGTGATGAATACAAAAGTTGTTCAACTCATCAAGATCTACAACTTTTATTTTGGTCATCTTATCATTCGACTAAATTTGAACCTTTCAAAATTTGAAATTTGAAAAAAGATAAGTGGGCACTGCAGGGGCGGCTAGTGATTGAGCCGCCCCTACAGATCAGCCCCAACTGTAGGGGCGGCTCAGGTTAGCAGCCGCCCCTACAGTGCCATCTGTAGGGGCAGCTGGGCTGCTGGGGCCCAAGGACCCCCACTGTAGGGGCGTCCCCAACCCCAGCCGCCCCTACAGTAAAAATGCCCCCGTTCCTGTTGTAAGAATCTGGCGTAGTGTACTGGACGCTATTCCTTTATATTAAGTTTCCCGAACCTTTTTTTTAATATTTGCAATCCTAAATGATTTCAAATAAGAAGAAACTTTGAAATTTAAAGTTTTAGATCTTATTGAGCACTACAACTTGCTATAGAACATGCCTACATCTGAGGACGTTGGGAAATTTAAACATTTCAAATTTAGAAATATGAGAACTTATAATGAATATTCAAGGCCCCTAAATGATTTCAAGTGAAAAAAATTCAACCCTAAAATTTTAGATGTTGTCAAGCTCTGCAATTTTCATATAAGGTTTACCTTCATTCCACACTATTTAAAAAAGTTATGAATTTATTTTCATAACAATTATTAACCGCCCCTAGAAATCATTCATGGAAGAAGCTTAATTTATCCTAAGTGTACACCAACAAGAAATGGAATCCATATCAGGGTTGTTGACTTATGAGAGAGTAATCCCTTGTACGCATTGAGGTTGTGCTAAAAACAGAATTATTGTTGGATTCATCGAGGGATTTTCTAGTTTGAAAACCTTCACCTTGTTCGCTTATGCTGAAATTTAGTTTATGTTGATGCTTATGCTGATTTGTTGTGAGAGAAAAATATTATTCGTTAGAGGAAAATATTGCTTATTACTGTTGATGCTTATGCTTATGCTGATTTCACTATCTTATCTTGCTTCTATTCAAGAGTATCTACTCTCCCCTTGATATTGTGCATCTTGCATTGTATATTATTTCTGTGCCAAATCCTTGGGCTGCTATAGCAGGGCCGTCGAAGGGGGTGTGCGAGGTGATCAACGGAACAGGGCCCCTAAATTTAATGGGCCCCCAAATTGCAGCCTTTTAAGTCCCAATCAGCGCAATTAAGGACAGCAGCTTCATCGCCGTTGCTGCCTTCCGTGTGCCTGAGTACCTGACGATTCATCTGCCGCCGCGCCCACAAGCCGAAGCAGTACATTCGGTGATTCATCTACCGCAATATCACAAGAACTGAGCGTCGACCCCGTCTACCGAGTGTTGTCCTCCTGCCTAGTGCCTTCTGATCTTACTCTGCTTGTGACTCTGAATCTGTGCCTAGACTGACTGGAACAGGTAAGTTAATTAGACCTATACAGTCTTAGCGTGCTAGCAAATTCTTAATTTAATAATTTTCTAATGCTGTTGTCGGCTGATTTGATATGTTTGTGTTTTCTTTTGTTCTGATTAGAGTGACGGGCTGAAGACATTAGACATTTAGGCATGGGACTTGACTTAATATATATACACTATATGAATTTATTTAAATTAATTCAATCCACATCATGTCTACTAGAAATAGAAAATATGATTCTTGAGGTTAGTAATATTTTTACTGTTTTTATACATATGGTACAAAAGAATACATATTAAAGTTATAAATTTAAGTGAAAGTATGTCCAGAATATTAAAGTCATATATTTCACTATGTGAAAATGGTTGTAACGTGATGTCTTCTCGGGCTCACGGCTCCATGTTAATATACCTAGAAAAAGCCCCTAACGTGGCGCTTACAACTTGAATTACAAGAAAATGA